AATTTGATTCGTGAAAATAGCAAATTGCATTTCTTAACGAAGATTATCTTGCATCATTCTATTATTTTAATGAAACCTTTTTTAACTATGAATCATTGTAAATAAGCTTCTGAAACGGCGAAAAAAATATGAGTGATCAATATTAATTTTGACTAAGGACCTAATATTGATGTATTAGCAACAGAGGACAAACTATTAAAGCCTAATTAGAAGTCAGACAAAAATTACTATACTCATCTGGACATATTAAGTTATTTAAAATAATTATTCAGGTTACAACAAAATTCTGTTCCAAACACTTACAGAGATAACTGGGATAGTAAAATTTCTATCAGTGTCTATCAGTACTAAAGCTACAATTTTTTTAAGCTTACTGATAGTAAAAAAAGAAAGAAAAAGAGAATTACTAAGACTTAAGTTGGATTTTGAATAAAGAGTATAAACGAATTCTCTAAAAACTTGTTTATACACAACGAGTCTTTTGATTCAGATGTAAATTTGCAGATGACGTATTCGGAAAAGTGGTGTGACAGTATGCTTTTCTTGACAATACACGGTTTCTATACCAAACTTTATAGTGCATCATTTCTAAATTATATAAGCTATTGTTTTATTTTTAAATGATTTTTGGCTACTTCAAATAGATTCACTAATACCACTTTTTCAAGTTCTATTGCATTGAGAGTTTTGTTGATAGCCGTACACCATATATGTGCTCTATATATATCTTGGGTCACAAAATTAATATAACGTTAATTGCAAAATAAAATATCTCTACCTTGAGTATTTTCCTAAATGTAAACCGTTTCAGTGCATTAACTTACCTCCAATTCTGCTGCAGATGCCGGATTAGTTGGTAAAAAGTCTTCAAAATTTATTTGTAACGATCATAAAAATGGAATAATTTCACTTATGTGCCGGAGATTCATTAAGTAATCAATCCAATTAGAAGTTGATTTCAAAACATATCTTTTTGACTAATTCCAAATCTGTGACTTATTTCAAAGATACGATGTATGATAAGTTTACAAATAGTTTATAGTGCAAACTTTTGTTTACATATTGGACATATAACTTTATGTACCGCTATTAGGTATTTTAAAACGGAATACATTTTTCCAGAGCTTTATATCATGGAATAAAACGAAGAAGCTACATGCAACTATTTGACTGCAGCTGCAATTATATTCACTTACTATAGTTATATCATATAGTATTTGAAGCTGTTTAATATTTATATATCAAAGCGTCATCATATCTTTAGATATTTTTAATAAATTTTTTCAGCATAAGTGAGTCCATCTTAATTAAATACTTCCGATTTACTAAGAAAAGCTACTATTATATCACTATATCGCTGTCACCATTATCAGCTATATAACTTCCTCTTCATGTAACGCTTAAGAAACTTTTTTTTGCAGGACTCTAAGTAATTTGGTTGCCAGTAAATTAGTTTTGATAATGTGCTGTTATAATGATGCTCTGAAATATGTTTTCAAGTAGTGCTTTGAACCTTAAAATTATAATTCGACTTCTGTTTGCTAAGAAATATTATGGGTTTTGTTGTATATTAGAAAAGACTACTCTTACTTTTCGGGTTTTATGATTATTGCATAAGAATCTCTTATTGTTAAGCAATATTAATTAAGTAATTTATGCAGAAAATAAGTATTTACTCAGTATACTTCACCAAAAACGTTTCTAAATTTTTTATTAGATATTTTGATGACAAATGACATTTCTGATAGCTCAAAATTGGTTTATTATTGCAGTAGGTGACAATTATAGCTATGTGCAATAAGCTAAATGAAATATTATCAACCTAAATCTTACTTAAACAATTAATTTATTAAATAGTTTCATAATATTAAATAATGTTTTAATAATATCTGCTTTAAAATAATCTCAGATGAAACAATGATATATATATATATATATTGCGTTATATTCAAGTTTGGTTGTATTTATTTATGTACATATATGAATGTTTATGTATAGATAAAATATTTGTATGAAGATATAAAGTTATGCGTATTATTTCAATGCACATGTTGTTATTCTTTTTGTTATTATTATGGTATATATAAGTAAAAAGGACTTAAATGAAGTAAGCTGAGAAAATTTTTGATTTAATAACAATTTTAATTATTTTAGGCTTTCACTTGTCATACCAAAATTATTTTATTATTTAATTCACAAGCATTATACTTCACAAAGACCACAAAAAATTTCATATTTACAATAAAATACCATTAACTAAATACTTAAGTGTAATATTTTATTACATTTCATATAAAAATCTTAAAGATTTCATATGCCAAACCTCAAATAAAATTGCAATTCATTATCCTTAATAGCCACTAAGTGACAAGGAATATTTTATTTTGGACATATGTAATACCTTTGTGCTGAAAAGATATTACTTACTAAGTTTATTTATTAAAAAGCAACACTGGATATATTAATTTTCTAATACTTGATATACAAAACAATTTTACTTGTAGGCATTCATAAGGAATTATAACACTCATACGCACTGGTGTGCTAATAATTTTGTCAAACAAACATGGGCTTGAAAATCATATAAAGTGTTTTATATAAAATTCTTATTTCAGTTTTCAAGTTATTACTATCTGCACTTTTAATGTGAAATTTTTCCCACTTAATTTATTGTCATTTGCAATAATTAAATTTAAATGCTATGGCGCACATTGTAGAGTCGTCCCCATTGTGCTGTTGCACATGTGACACTTTCCTGCACTTAATGTGTTGCTCAGCATTGAATCGTTTTAACTGCTCTCGTTGCTTCTGCTTTCCCTGTTACTTTTACTGTCGGTTTTACTGTTACTCTACTTTCTTTTTAATTCATTTTTTGGCATCTCCATTGTACTGCTCTGTGGTTGTTGCCATGTAATCGTCATACCCGGTCTCTGACTACAATCAGAGTCAATTAAATTTTTAGTTCGAAAATTACAACAACTGCAGATACGCTTTATGGCCAAAGCGCAGGCATATTCAGTGCTGTTTTTGCAGTCGAGCGTGAAAACTCCCTTGGGAAAATGTAATAAGAATATGCCGCTGTCGAGAACGAACAATTGCTGCGGTGCTGGTTATTATGTCTTGTAATTGACAGGTTTATGGCACTGTCGTGCACGCTCATGTATGGTTCACAGGTACGTGATTTTGATGCTAATAAAAACTTAAAATATAAAAATAAAAAGTGGCTGGGACGAAATTGTTCCCGGATATACCAACTTCATATACATAGTCGTTATGAAATTAGTGTCGATAGTTATATTTGGAATAGAATAGCATAATGCACATACCTATGTGCTAATTATAAAGCTGTAAAAAATTATACTGTTATTTTTGAAAATAAAAAAATGTCGATAAAAATAAAATTTTGTTTTTAGAATAACTATTTGCTTTAAAGTGGTTTTACTTTTTTTGTTTGAAGTGTGAAAAATATTGAAGCCATTAATTGAAACTAATTTTGTATTCTATATTTTGCTTTATCCATTGCCTAGTTTGGAAGACGTTAAAAAAACTACGACACATACAATTAAAATTGTCAAATTTAAAATCCAGTTTTAATACAAATAAAATATATTTTAAGTCTTTCATGTATGAGACACGAAATGTGCTTTTATTAACTTGGAAGAAAATTCACATGGGCACCGCCTACATCACTTTTTTTTGAACGAGTTAGTCAAGGTGATAATCAACTATTTTATCAGCTTGCTGACATTTAAATATAATATTTTCTTTTCCTCTGTTGCGATCTATTAAAACAAAGAACGAGAAAAAAATAAACTTGGAACTCAAAATCATATATCGTATAAGCCATGAAGTGGTATACTCATAGGTAATCTTACAGATATATTATAAAAAGTTAATTAATAGTTCAAAGTTATAAAAACATTGTTAGAGGGCCGACTCATTCTCATTTACTACCGACGGAATGAATAGTACCTAATTTTTTGTGGTAATACTAAATCTTTTCATAAATCAAACTTTATTTATGCGCTGTAATATACATTGGTAGAAGTAATTGTATTGAATACCCAAAATTTGTTATTTAAAATATAATTTTAAAATGTAATGCAACCTTTCTTTACTTACCTTATCTCTTGGCATACGACAAGAGGTTAATTTAAAAGGGTGTTAATAGTGAAAAAATAATCAAATCCATTATCAATAAATTAAAATAACTACTGGGTCATTTCTAATATCGCAAACAATCCATCATTACTGGTCTTTCGTATATATTGCTAAAATTAAAATATAATTCCTTATCAGCTAGAGTAAGAAAATTGAACACTGTCTGTTTTTAACTCTGGATCCATATGTGAACACACAAAGCTAACGTACACTTAGCTATTTCTATCCAAAACAGCCGTGTGGTCAGCCTCAAAACTTTCTTCATTAATAATATAATTTTTTACTGCAACTTGATAGGATTTTCAGGTGTTATTATGCAGGATTTGACCGTGATATATTATTCAGCATGTTTACTCTAGCAGTTTTTGGTAATTATACTTTTGAGTGCTGATTAGGTCGAATACTGACATCGAGAGCTATACTATCTTGATTAACTGAAAATTGTTTTCTCTTAAGTAATATATTTGAATGCTATTTATGTAAGATATACTAAAAATTCCAATATATTAATAACTGTGAACAAAAAAAAAACCTTGTGTAACTAACGATTCATGTCAGTTTTGGGAGACTCTTTAATAAATTAATTATATACCCTCTCTCTATGGTATACAACAAACTTTGAGCTGTACTAACACATAATTTAGCAATATTAAGCAAGTAGAATAAATATCGAATATAAAAATATTATACACATATAAGATAGATCTTTAAATGGGTATCGTTATCTGCTCAAGATGAAATTAAAAAAATTACATGAACTCTCCATACGATTTACTTAATAAAATTTAAAAGCCAATTTTTTAAAATTTTAGTATTTATATTTTGATCCATACATTTTGATTCATTTATTTTATTTCATTTACTTATTTGTTCATTATTTTATTTATTATCATTACATTAACACTAATACATAATTACGTCCTTAATATAAAGTACAAAAATATTTATAAACTAATTACAAATTAATTATGTACAGTCAAGAAATTTACACTAGAAAATCAAAACATAAATTAAATCAAAATTAAATTATCGTCAAGTCTCTTGTGCATGCAAATTTACAAAATTGAGCAGCAGACAAAAGTATACATTTCCTGTTCGTATTTCCTCTTCCCTCCACTGCCGCTGGTGCTCTTCATGTCGATTGCCGTCGCTTAATTTTCTGAGGTGTTAATAGCCATGCAGCAACTCAAGTGTTGATTGGTGTGTGTGTAGTGCATGCGCTGCAGCCGCAACATACCAACTTCGTACTGCAATAGTGCAACAGTGCAACAAGCAGGAAACGCATGACTAAAAATGTACAGTAAAAATAATTACATTAATTAAATTTGCTAAGTTTGAGTACGACTCGTTGGAAGTACCTTTATCTGCAAGCAGCCCTCAAGGCTCTGCTGGGGCTCAATTAACAGCTACGCTGTATAGATGAACTACTTAATTTACGTTGCTTAATATAACAGGTTAGAAGCAAATTTCATTTAATCACGCGTTCTAAAAGCTAAAAATATATATGTCAGAAATAAATAATATAAAAATATGAAAATTTCAAGTAAGGCTGAGTGCATATTTACATATGTGTACACTTGTGGGTGTGTGATTTAATTAGTTCATTGGTAATTCAAAATTTACTTTTCAACATTAAAATTTACTTTTCACTGCACTTCTGCTAATGCAACCAAAAAACAAAAAAAAAACAAAAAAAAAAAAAAGAAAACAAGAAAATTCTTCTAAATCTAGTCATAAATCAGTAGCTTATACCGTCAAACATCCATTTAAACACACATGTACCACACATGTAAACCGCACACATGCACACGCATATAAAGAACTCCGTGCTCTACTGTTTTACTTACATAGAAAAACGTCAATAACACAAGCAGCATTTTGGGGATTTGCATTCGTGTTGCCAGTTCGTGTTGCATGGCAGCATGTTGTTCACTTTTGATGATATGCACAAAAACGCTATCGGAATCTGAAAAATCGTGCTCAATTCAGTAAAAGGACTTAAGTGCGGATTTGTAAGAATATCCTTAAGAGTTTCGCAAGTTGAAAATATTTTTTGTTAAATGCAAACATCTTACCTATAAATTATTTACTTATTGCAAATGGTAATGCAAGCAATTTCTTGTAGACGCAGTCGAAATCGTTACATTGCTTAGAATTCAATTGCCTGAGATTCGCTTTATATATTTTTGACAAATTCTCAGATAATCTATCGATTACGGAATAACATTTAATGGGGAATTTCTTAAAACGTGTTAAAATGGATGCACATAATCTATCAGATGAATGGGTACATTTCAGTAAAATGGTATTAACTTAAGAAAACCTTTTTTTTAAGACAATTGTTAAAATGTAGTGAATAAAATAATTTAATATAATTACTACATTATTTTCCTTCTGGCGCAAAACGTTAAACTTTTTACATAGATTATCGATTTCTTCTTAAGTTTTCACATCTACTTTAACATATTATTTATCTAGTTAGTTGGTTTTGTAGGAGGAAAGAACGAATCCTTCTTAATTAACTAAAAAAGCCGTTTCGAATCCAAAACATCTCGTTATGGTAGGTAGTAGAGAGAAAGTCAAGCTAGAACCAGCCAGAGACATTTATAAAGATAAGAATCTAACCAATGCTAATGCTAGAGTTATCACCGAGTGTGTTGAAGAAGGGAACCCTCTTAAACTTAAGCCTAGTTCTGACCTAACCTGGACAAAGATATATCAGGTATTCTGGTGTCCTCTTTTCGAGCTCTCTCTTCTTCGAGCTGGTAGTACATATAGTTTATCTATACAAATGCATAAAGATATACAATATAAATATTTTTATCTATATATTTATTTACCTACCATGAGTTATAAGAATATTTCAAATTTTAATTTAATATAAAAATGTACTAAAAAGGACATATGTGACTCGTATATAGAATATGAAAATAAAGATCGTATCTTTGAATTAATAATCCTGATGAAAGTATATGTGAAATGCGATTATAACAGATGTGATTCTTTTTCTTTTTTTTTTTTTTAATTTAATTAAATTGATGACATAATGAATAGTGTCAAATATAATGAATAAAACAATTGATAAATAATGTTCTTATAACTGTGGTAAAAAGGCTGTAAAAACAATATGAACTTAAATATAAATAAAACTATATAATTAATATAAAAACCTTTCACAACAGACTTGAAGACATGTAATTACTCTTCGGTAATAATGATTGCTTTGTGGTATTTTAAAAAATTCAGTATGCCAACCAAATATCATGTAGTGAGACAAAATTTACCAAGTGTAAAATAAAATAAAAGTAATTTAAGGTAGAAATGAACATATTTTTATGCATTTATGATTGTATAAATATAATAAAAATTAAAAAAAATATGAAACGTTAAGAAGTAAAGAAAATTAAATGAAAAAGATAATGTAAAGGAACAATTGAAACTCAATTATGCATTTATTATTTCTTTAAATAATACTTGAATAAAGTATTAGTGTTGCTGTTAAGCTAGACTTACTTTGTATAGGGACAAAGAAGCATTATTAAATTTTTAGAAGGGTTTTCGAATAACAAAGAAAGAAATAAAGGACAAACACAAAAATTTATTTTTAATTTTATTGAAATTTGGCTGACCATACAACGCTGTTTCGAGTATTGCCAAGTACTCTTCATCAGTGGTCTTTGGAATAATCGAATTTTATTTAATTAGTTTATAGTCCGTATATAATTTGTTTGGACTGCAAGTGCCAGGCTTAGAACTCGTGCCTGTCAAATTAGAAGCGATGACTAATCGTGTTTATCCACAAAAAGCCAAGGCTGCACAAACTTTCAATGCTCAAGTTCCAGGTTTTATTGTCACTTATTTTAATTTAATTAGTGACAACAACCAAAGCACTTGCCGTGCTTTAAATTAGAACGAGCTTATAAACTACAGCTTTATTTTGGAAACACAAATTCAACGAATTGAAAGTTTAACTTTTTGGGTTTGCCTTATTCTTTATTTCTTTTCAAAGCTACTCTTTTTGTAGAGACATATTGTACTGCATATTGTTTTACTTACTATATTTGACAGGCACGAGTTCTAAGCCTGGCACTTGCAGTCCAAACAAATTATATACGGACTATAAGCTAATTAAATAATATTCGATTATTCCCAAAGACCACTGATGAAGAGTACTTGGTAATACTCGAAACAGCGTTGTATGGTCAGCCAAACTTCAATAAAATTAAAAATAAATTTTTGTGTTTGTCCTTTATTTCTTTCTTTGTTATTCGAAAACCCTCTAAATTTTAATAAAGCTTCTTTGTCCCCATACAAAGAAAGCGTAGCTTTATAGTAACACTAATACTTTATTCAAATATTAGACTTGTGAAAAGTAAAGAACAATATGTTAAAATATAATATTGTTCAACTTTTCCTAACCGCGAAAGCGGATTTGTAGAATAACATAGCATAGCTTCTTTGTAAAAAGCACCAAAATGGTCGCTTTACATATAGTAAGTAAAACAATATGCATTACAAAATGTCTCTACAAAAAGAGTAGCTTTGAAAAGAAATAAAGAAATAGGCAAAACCCAAAAGTTAAACTTTCAATTCGCTGAACTTGTGTTTCTAAAAATAAAGCTGAAGTTTATAAGCTCGTTCTTATTTAAAAAGCACGGCAAGTGCGTTGGTTGTTGTCACTAATTAAATAAAAATAAGTGACAATAAAACCTGGAACTTGAGCATTGAAAGTTTGTGCAGCCTTGGCTTCTTGTGGATAAACACGATTAGTCATCGCTTCTAATTTGACAGGCACGAGTTCTAAGCCTGGCACTTGCAGTCCAAACAAATTGTATACGGACTATAAACTAATTAAATAATATTCGATTATTCCCAAAGACCACTGATGAAGAGTACTTGGCAATACTCGAAACAGCGTTGTGTGGTCAGCCAAACTTCAATAAAATTAAAAATAAATTTTTGTGTTTGTCCTTTATTTCTTTCTTTGTTATTCGAAAACCCTTTTAAATAATACTTAAAATTAAAGAATATTAAAAACTGAAAAATGAATAAATTAAAATAAATAAATTTAAAATAAATAAATTGAAATAAAATATGGAATACAAGGGATTTTAAAGTAAAATTAATTTCAAACTTCTAATTTTTTTTGATATTTAATCCGGAAACCAATTAAAATATCAATTGTATGTAATTTAAGTTTTCGGTGTAATTGCATAGCTTTAAAGAAATGAAAGATTTTGGTTCAATTCCAATAAATTTTATACAAAAACTACTCATTATTAATATAAATATTAAACTACTATCAGTTGAAGAAATAACAAAATTTTAATATAGATCACATATCAACATATATACGTAATTGGTGGTTAATGTCGCAGCCACAATTGTGCAGGTGGGTATTGGTGGGTGTTCCGAAATTTTGGATTTTGGATATATTTTTGCAGTTCACTAAACTTTCGTGTTTTGTTTTATATAATCCTGGGGGAATTTTTTCTGTTATCTATACACTTCATCCCTACGGCCGGAAAGTACCGTAAGAGAAACTAAAATAAAGAAGTTAGACAAAAGAACTAACTTTAAAAAAATGAAAATATTGAAAAAAAAGTAAATATTAAACAAAAAACAGAAGAACAATGAATATATATTATGAACACGTTTTCCTCTAGAACTGCAACGTCTAAAACAAATTTAAAATTAAAAAAACATTGTCTCTCATCCTCATTATCTTAACCTTATTCCTAATGATTGTATTTTCAGACTCAAGAAATAAATAAAATCATTTGGGAGATTCCTCTAGAAATATATTTCACAGTATAAAAAAATTTATAAATGTTTTGAAAAAAATGGAACTGTTCATAAAAACGATATAATGAGCTACAAACTGATATTGAACTTGATACAGGATACTGTTAGTTGCTTTATTAATATTTCTTGTATATTGTATAGATTAAAATATCAAGCATTTTTTGGTTTGCTGAATATATATATTTTTTTCAGTTCTCTAAGACACACTTAGCAACTCAGTAAATATAGTAAATAAACCCACTAAGAAATCTTAACCATGTCAAAGGATATGAGGAGTTTATGCTCGCAAGAAACACTCTATAAATGATTTTTTTGAAAGCTTTGAGGAAGAATATGTGCATAATGTGATTTGATTAGTTTTATTACTTCCGATACACTATGTTATTTTTATGATATCTACACCCAGAAATATATGCTTCAAACACATGCTAGTTAAATTGACCTGATCATTTTGTTAGAGAAATTTTAGCTCATGTGGTAAAGATGATATGAAAACCAACATGTAAAATGGTTGAAACAAGATAATGAATCGAATAAGAATATTTTGATTTAGTTAAAATCAACCAAATTATTTTTCTGAGTGTACAGGTACATATTGAAGAAAAATGATATATATTATTTTTGAACAATAAAAAAATCATATATAAAATAAATTTTTAGTCAATAGAGTAAAAAACCTGCCACTTAAATGTAGGAACCCTATACTTAGACTCAGTCCATTAAAGATGTTATACGTAAATGTCAAATTGTTTTCAATGTTTATTCTAAATAGTATATCATTTTTCTAAATATCTACTTTAGAAAAGACTATAGAAGGAAAATCGTAAATAATTTTCGGGAAATATTTTGCTTTCGACGATGAACAACAACATTTTTTTTAACCAATTTTTTTATTCGTAATTACTCGTCTCATTTATATGCTAAACTTATGTTATATATATGTATAACATATATGTATATATATTATAATCAAAATTTACTTTGTGTAATTTGAAATCAAGGCATCAAATTTTATTATATATTTGTTATTTATTGATTAAAAATCAAATGCAAGAATCCAATCAACTAAATTTGTCATATCTAAGTCTACTGATAAAATTTTAAGAAAATGCAGGAAGAGTGATGGGGGAGTCTAATGAGCGTATGTTGCATCCGCACCATATAAATTTTATGCAAATTTTTTGTTTTTAACTAAATCATTTTTTATTGCATTTGAATAAGGCGTATATATAATTATATAGACATTTGCCTAACAAAATATCCTAAATTCAACCATTTCACTTCTATGACAAATACTTTTTTTAACCTTCCTCACATTTTCCATTTTGCAGTCGTATTCCATACTCGAATCTAGTTTGTAATTAATAGGAGTATGTGTATGCAAAGATACTTACTTGAATTATCCGCCGCACATGTATAATTTCCAGAATCCGTATGCAGTACACGTGATATCACCAAATTGCTTGTCTTCATTTGTTGCTCCGATACGACCCTAATACCACCGCGTGTGGAATCGTTGATTAATTCGCCACCCTTAAACCACGTCATGTGCGTATAGGGACCCGGTGCTTGCGGTGCAATACATGTCAAATTAATGTCACTGCCACTCTGAATGAAAAGTTCGCGATTCGAAAGTATTTGTGCTTTTGAGGCTAAATTAAAAAAAAAAAAAAATAAACGGAAATACGGAAAAAATTTGAAAAAATTATAAATGCACTCAATTTTCTTTAATGATTGCACGCCTAGCAGTTGTATACTTACTCACAACCATCAGTTTGTAAGCCTGACTAATTTTTGGCTCAGTCGACACTTGACACTCGTATATGCCTGCGTCTCTAGGCTGCACAGACACTATTTTCAGTACCCATTCGTCTGAGTTATCTAAATGTCGCGCTAAAAAGCGCTGGTCATTTGTGTACGTCATGATGCCAATGGTCAGTATGTGTAAATCGCGTTTGCGTATCCATGAAACGGCACGATCTCCGAGATTACGTACACGGCAGTGCAGACGTGCCGTTGTGCCTACCGCTCCAATAACGTCACGTTCGGTGGTGTTTTCAAATTGTGGTTCTATGTTCTCGTAACTCTCGAGTATTAAATTCGAAAGCTCCTGCGGATGTTTGTGATGTGGCGCTGTCGTTGTACCTTCGAATGCTGCAAGGAAGAATTTAAAATTAAAAATAGCAAATTATTTTCTTAAATTTTTAACATTAATTCAATTTAAATATTTTTATTTTTTTATGTTTTTTATGTTTTTTATTATAATTATTACATATTTTAATGCTCCGCTTTAGTTCAAAGTCTTTTTTGAATTGGCAAATTAGCCGGAAAAAATAATTTCTTATTTGCTTTTAGCAATTTGGCACAACGTGCAGAGATTGTTAAATTGCTTTTTACTTGCAATTGCGTTGTTACCATATCCTTGTGCTCCTTTTCATGCTTTCTCCCCAACTTTCCTTACTTTCCTTTCCTTACTTATGTTACTCATGCTTATTCGCTTATTTTTTTCATACTCAATTATTTTTCTTTTAACGCAGTAACAATATTGTTCCTTGCAAGGAGCACATTCGATGCGTGTATGTGATGAAAATCAAAAGCGCCTCATTATTGCTGACAATTCAGAAACTGTTGAGCCTGCATGTATGGCCAATCTACAAGGTTTGTCTGGGGGAATGTTATTTTTATTGGAAATTGTTGTAAAAAATGGAGCAGGAAAAAATTTATTAAATGTCATGAAAACCCCTAAGGACAAAATTGTAAAGCCGAAACAGAAATGGCAAAATTAAACGTTCCAAGAAAACAATATCAGATCTCTTTAATGTATGAACTCAGTACTCTTTAGTACTATCATAAAACTTAAAACTATTCATTTACATATAGTTATGTCTATAAAAAAAATTTTATAATATAAATTATTCTTACTATCAAAGCATAAGTGATATTATTTATTCTTATCATTTTCATTATTAGAGTTTTATTACTATTATTATTATTAAACATACATGTGTCTTTTTTAAGCTACTATGTCGGTTAACTTATCTACTATTTTTATTTAGGAGTTGTTGTGAGTTCTACAACCTTAATTATTGATTTTATTATCTAATATTTATATCTCGTATTGTATTTAATTTATTGTTTTTTTTTTTTATTTATTATTTAAAACTGAATTTGTAACTGATTCCCATATAAATAAACACCTTACATGTTTCCAAGAACAGTTGCAATAATACTCTTCCCTGAGAAAGAAGTCAAACAAACATCGAAACGTCGGCAATATTTATATAAAGGACTATATAATAATAAAAAGCAAATCTTATTTACAATTTCTTATTTTATTCAAATAAGCCTTTTCAAACAACAAGTATATAAAGAATATAATTTTCTTTATTTATCACCGGAATAATACTAATTCTGGCTTTCTGTTTAACATACTGTTGTCTCATATTGTGTGGTATGGCATAACATCAAAATCTGCGGTGTTGAGGACATCATGTATATGTAGAATACCAATAAAAATAACAAAATTTAATACTAAATTATCATCATTGTAAAAAATAATATAGGAATATATGTAATAATTTCTTGGTATTTTGAAATACATAATAATTATGTTAAATAATTAATGTGTTTATATCGAACTAACACAATTCATGTCGGTCAAATCTACAGTAACCGGCGCCTTCAACTGCTCAACTTCGACTACTGATGATTACTGACTACCTACTAATGAGTAATGACTACTGACTAATGACTAATAACTATTGACTGCTGACGTCACTCTCTCTCTACTATTACCTTATACTCTTAGATACATATGTATCTGTTTAAAGTTCTACTGTCGATTAATTTATTTCATTTATTTTGGTAAAAAAAATATATGTAAATCGTGATCTGATATTGAAATTATTAGAGTATGTGATTAATATCCTTTTACGATTGAAGCTAATACATTATATTATACTAATGAAACAAAATCAATATAAGTAACATAATCGTATAAATCCGCCCCCGTTTATATTTACTTGCAAGAACTGTAAACTGTTTCTTTAAATTTGAAGAAACGGTTAAATGGCATTATCAACTCATCGCCCTTTAAATTGTTGGTACTTGTTTAGTCCAAATTTATAGAAAGAGTAAAATGGAGTGATTTTCTTGTAAAACACATGAGTTTTAATAATAATTTCAAATAATAAATTTTTTCTTATTTCAACAATCAAGTTGATAGGTTATTAATTGCTTAAACAACATTACTTAAAAGGTAGGTAAGCTACCTTATGACCTATGGTAGAATAGGTCGGGGTTTCGATTTTGCTGATTTCATACATTTATTACTCATTTTTTACTTACAACATATTCTCGATTTTACTGTATTTATTTTACTATTTATTATTTTACTATATATATTTACTCAACAAACGTCGTAAATTCTGATATCGATAACACCTCAAAATGAAGTTTATTATTTCAGAAACCCAAGCAATTTAGACTGATTAGTCTAAAAATCTTAATATTCTTAGCGAATATTCTTAGCCTCTGCTTGAAAAGATTTTGCTTTTGGATGGATAAGTTACACTCAGAAAAATATAATCTAACCGTATACTACTTAAACTGACCAGATCATTTAGTTAGAAAAATTTTAGGTCATGCGGTAAAGAAACTATGAAAACCAATGTGTGGTATGGTTGAATTAACATGATACGTCGAGTAAGAATATTTGAACTGAGTTTTAGTCTCAGTTACATCAATCAAATTATTTTTCTAAGTGTACTAAAATGTAATGCATCTAATAGCTGTTACTAAAGTGCCATGTAACATTGTAGTGTCATTATAATATTTTAGTGTTGCTTAATTAGGTTAAGTTATGGTACCGAGCCTAAGAATCCACTTTTGTAGTTTAATTACTTTTTCAAAAATTATTGCAAGCAAATTAAATGAATATTGTGTCCACACTAACCCTAGAAATTAACTCGATTTGCAGATTGTCATTCTAAATCAAAATACTTTAGTTCAAATATTTTGGATTGTTATTAAATCCTTTTCGCTTAACGTTGGTTTTATGAAAATTGCACTAATTTTCACGATTTCAGAACAATAGCAACAAATTAATTGTGGGACATATGGCGAAATTGGAATATTCTTGTTGCTTTCGTGTTTATTCCGCCTATTTTCATTAATTTTTTATTTATTATAAAAATAATAAAACATTATTCAATTAACAGAATATTTATTAAAAAAAATTTAATTTTCAGTTTGTGTGTATATAAATTTTAATTTTTAAATATAAAGAGCATTTATTAAAAGTATTTTAATTTTATCGATAATTTTTTAAATCTCATTTTCAATTTATTATATTTATTGTACTATATTGAAACGAAAAGATTTTAAAATTTAAATAAAATAAATAAATTTCAAATAATCAAGTTTCGATGTCAAATCCCTCCAAAGAAAAAACTGCACTATATACAACTTATACTACAATATTCATTGATGTCATAAACATTCAAAAATAATCGTATTTATTTTATATTTTCTTTCGCAGAAAAATTAAGTAAATAGTTTCTAATTAATAAAATGTGATTAATAAAATAATTTACAAAAGTACTAAAATAAAGTTAATTCTGACAACATTTTCCAAAAATGAAGCTTCATATCAAAAAAAAAAATATGCAACTTTATAGAACATTATACGCCTGAAGATTATTAATTAGGTGTAGATATGGTTCACAAGATCCCCGAGTGGTTAATAATGTTACCAAACATGGCATACAGTTGGTGGAAGAATATAGTATTTTCACCAAAGTGAAAAAGAACAGGAATTTATATATCAGGTTGTAAGCCAAAAATGTGGGTACAATTCTATTAAAACAAGTATTGGGAATTTGAGATACGTCCATATAGTGAATAAATAAAATGAATACTGAAAATCAAGATTTTATCGAAAAAACCTAAATTTTATGTTAGAGGTGGTCTTAGCTTTTAAGACAGTGATTTGTGATGTATGATGAAAATTTTCATTTTAAGAATTTAATATACATTTAACATAAACTTGCAACTGTCACACCAGTATTTATTTTTTCGACTGATTTTTTTGTATTGTTTTTAACTAATTTTATACCAACATTCTAACTTCTTTGAATTTAAGTCCATGAATTTAAATTAGTTAATATATATAATATATATAAATTAGTTAATATATATATATAAGTTAAATATTTTATTGCTGATAGTTTGAGTTCCGATGCGCTATTTGGAGACGAGGATCACAAAAGAAGAATAATTTTCCTTTCGATTGAGTATGTTAAGTTGAATAATAACTGAAGCAAGTCACCTTTCTATAAAAATAAAAATAAAGATTTGTGTTAAAATTTAGGATTATGGAATGAGTGTAGTTGCTTATTTAAGGATATTGTAAATGCATATATTTGACGGAATTCATTTATAAGATGTGTAAGTGAATTTTGATGAAAACTTAATGTTTCAGTATTATTATTTAACAAATATCGTCATGTTGTTGCAAAATTAGTTGTAAAGCTTAAGTTCAATGGACGGTTAAGAAAGTTGTGTGATGCCCTACATAACATAAAATGCCTCACACATGACAACTTGCTTGCAACATCTAGAATATTTAATCCATGTCTGCTCATGATAATTATGTATATCTCAAGTGGCTGCAATATGCCATAACTCCCCTTTTTTCTTAAGAAAAAAAAACTACATACCTCTGGAATCAAATTCATTCAAACAAAATGAATGTTTCAATCAAACTATTGTATCGATAATTAATAAAAATGAGTACCAAAAACTTTTTACGGAAATTGGTGTCGCAGTTTTGAGCTAAATAAAACATTTACAAAATTTTACTGTGTTGCTTTTACTAATTTCCTAGCAACATTTGTCTTTACACATCTTCACTTCAAAATAAAGGCAGGAAATTTTTTTAAAATTAGAATCCAGTTCAAGTCGCAGCTTATTTCATGTCTTCAAGATTTTGAAAATTCATGTTATATTAATACTGAATAGTATACATTATACTATATAAACATATATAATAATGACTTTTTATAATTTTGCATGACGTGTAAAATTTAATGCTGTTATACAGCATTATATGTACATTTACTTTGAATCAAGGCACCGAAATGGTTTGTATTACA